TTTTTTTTTTTTTTTTTTGGAGAACGGGCGAAAATCCGTGCGCGCGCAGGATGTCATCCATAAAATTAAAAAAGTGTGGCCTAATGGAAATTGTACAGACATTTGCTATCAGGCTTGCTAATCTAAGGTATACTGGGCGAAATAATAGCGTACTGAATATTATGAAACGTATTTGACCGCATTTTCACCACTTTTCGTTAATGTCCAACTGGACCAAATATTGCTGATACACAAAAGCCATAAACAATCCAATCAAAATGTTTTTATCATTAAATTGATATATCAAAAATTAATCTGAATGTTATTGAAAATGAAATCTTATCGGACTGAAATTGGTAAGTAATAAACGATTCCTATCTGATAGCAGTATGAGGGACAGACACTTACCATAGGTGGGAGAGTACTGTACAGAGCCCGTTGACACTGCTGTGACGTCATCCGCTCTAGGACACTGAGAGGGGTAATGGAAAGTGCCGTTGAACTGGTATGGTTGCTAAAACGATTCAAAACACGTGATAATAAATGGGTTTTTCAACATGTCTACATTTGCTCATGACATATGATAAAATGACAGAGCTATAAAAATAACCTTTTATTTCTTTGTACACTGGGTATGACGTTTAATGCGGTAACGCATAGCAGCTGAGGGGGATTTTGAGTGCTTCCACGGTTGGTAGGACGTCACAGACACTTGTTCGAATCCATTTTTGTCTTTTTTTATGTCATAACAAGATCTAAAATTACATCCTCATTGCTGAAAATGGTGTATTTCGGTACAGTGTATCTCAAATACATTCACTGCCACCCTATCATTCTAAAAAGCCCTTGGATCAATATCGCAAAGTCGACTATGCGTAGTCGGCTATCTGATTAAAGCCACCTAAACGTAGCCCGGCGAACTAAACACTTAGAGCGAAACAAGTTCCGGCTGTGGGTGCAGATTTATCCACGTACCCAATGATCCCACTTTGTGATTTCACACAGAAAACTTCCACCAGGACACGTGGTGTGGCCAATGTCGTCTGTCTGCCGGTGACCCACCAGGATGTAGTCAGGACGCAGGACTCCCCTGAGACAAATAAGATGGACATTGAGAGATTAGAAGTTTGATAAGTATAAGAGAAACAAATTACCACTACACTTGCTTGTTGTACCGTTTGTTTCTATCTTGTCAAACGACTCTATACCAAGCAAAATTGGGAGCATTTTTTTTATGACGAGATATACTTTAGTGTTTTCTAAAGGTGTAATATAACTCTCATAGCTTCACGATATAAGTTGTCTCTGACATTTTGTCCACCTATCAGGTACTATACTACTTTGCTTCTAGGAATGTTGGGAAAATATACCTTACTGGCAATTACGTTCATTATTTCAGAGCTGCACGACATACTGAATACGAAAATCTTACTCCTACACATTTACGATGTACAGTGCGTGCATTTCACCAATAATCTTTGTGCTTACTTTTGAACCCCACAACGAATAAGTTTCTTGACCATATCTGTAGCTATCGACAAAGGTATTACGTCTTCAAAATTTCCCATCACAACAATACCTGTAAAAAACAATATTAACAGCGTTTGTATCTCCCCCTTTTTCAGTAGTACGAGATGCATTAACGCACGTCTTATAATTACAATACTTATTTATAGTCTAAAATCTTAATATTTTCAATAGCAGTTAATATTGTATAATGCAAGTTAATGAAATTCATTTAAACAGACAATGGCAATGACAAACAATGCATAAGTTGATTGATATAAGGTCAGTTATGGCCGATTTTAATTTGTAGATTTGCAAAAAAGGTATTTTTCAATCCAATGGTGTAACACCATAATCAGTTTTATGTTACACTTACCAGTGGAATTACCGTTAATTCTTCGCGCGTGCGCCCCTCGTCTATACCAGCCGCGTCCTTCATATGCTCTGCCGTCCTCTCCAACACCGAAATTATAACCGATATCTGCCCAATGTCGAACATCTTGGTGAAAAATCTAAAAAATAAAACGTTTTCTATTGCTGTTAATGTTGAATAAATGTCATAAATGAAAATCAACAGTTTATCAAAATTCCAATTTTCTTCTTATTTGTTTGGATATAGCATCAGTTGCTGATAATATGAAATGGTTTAAAATTCCAGGAAAATTAAGTTATATTGATATTATTATTTTAGTTATATAACACGTCTTGTACCCAGTATACATGTGAGGTTTTGTGGATCACACACCTGTATTTTCCTCATCTCTGCGCTGCAGTTCTCCCTAGTAAAACAGCGGTCCCAGGATGTATGGTGTACCACAACGTACTGGACCGGAAGTGTCAGGTTCGTGATCTCGGTAGGGGGTCTGGCCCCCCACTGAGCTCTGCTTACTATATCCGGGCACTCGTCTATGAGAAATCAATGGGATGGAAAAGCTGTTACTACTGGATTAAATTTCTACTTTATAAATTCATCAAATACCGTAACTATTCATTTACATTCCTTCCTTTGTAATTTACATTGTTTCTCAAAATATGTTTGATGTTTGCACGTATGTAACAGTATTTTACTGATCCTACAAAATTGTATGACTCACCGTTTACTGTCATCGTTTTAGAGGCGTCTGCAGCTTTCACAGTTTGGTCGTGACTGATGACCCGCGGACATTGTGGAGGGAACCGGAAGACGCCATTATACTGCTCAGGTATCTGAAATGATATATAAATGATGACAAAAACATACATTTGTAATATTTTCAAGATACGAAAACAATTAATAAACGATAATATCTTGTACAACATTTTTTACAAAAATGGAATTTTTATACCTAAAGATACAAGTTATTTTTTACTTCAAAGTGATACTGTGCGTTGACAGAATCAGGTTCACATTTTAAAAAGAATTTCATAATAATAATATTGTCTGACAACGATACGCCAGCTCCTATTTCATCTTTTACTATGATAATGAAAGAATGAACTAACAGTTGTCCTAAGAAATTAAAGCAACAGACACAAAATAATTGGACATTTTCATGTATCTTACAAGGTTTGAACATTTTGAAGATTGTCATAAAACTACCAACCCAGTGATCCCACTTTGATATTGTGCAAAGAAGACGTCCGCCAGGGGGCGCAGTCTGTCCTATGTCGTCTGCTTGTGTGTGTCCAATGAGAGTGTAGTCATTTCGAAGAATACCTCTGTATGGAGAAATACACTTTACATAAGAATGTTCCACCTCTCACATATTGATTTAAAAATATCGTTTAAAATTACATTGTCAAGAGATCAAATAAAAAACACCCTTTTCTTTTCTCCTGCCACATGGGTAGGTGACAGGAATGGTAGTCCTAGGAATGGAGGTCTGGGCTCCCATATGATGAGTACAGGTTGGGGTTAGTTGGAGTATTGGGATTAGTATAATGGACAAATGTCACTTGTAGAAGGTAATGAGAGACGGACTGCTGTTCCCAGCGGGCTACCATTCCTGTCACACCGGAAAAGAGTAGGGGGTTAACTAGAAGCTTTACACTCTGAAGTTTTCAAAAGAATTATTTAACGGCAGTGAGTACTCACTTTTTAATGGCACACCGTATGATACGTTTAACTGCATTGGTAGCCGTCGCCATAGGAGTCACGTTCTCAAAGTCACCGAGGAATGCTATACCTGTTGAAAAACGAAGAGATTAATTTAGTTGGAAACAAACCGGCACTATATTTGTGTTGGGGAGGGCCGGTAAAATCAATTATTTTTTTAGTTAGACGTTATACTTTAATGAATTATATAAGAATACATTTCGCTTTAAAAAAATTGGGCAGGGAAGCTTATTTATGTATTTCCCATTACTGCCTGAAACGTCTATAGGATGGATGTCATCGGCAGTGAAATCTGATATAAATATACACTGTAATGCATTATATCTACCGGTATCATGATCTTACTCAGTGAGCGTGAGTCAAAACGGTCTGCAAGTTGTCCTTGTTTATACCACCCTCGGCCTTCATAAGCGCCGCCATTTTCTCCGACGAGGAAGTTAAAACCAATATCATTCCAACCATATTGATCCTGGTGCAACGCCTAAAGATTACCAAAGAACATTTCCCAGCAATGATTTAACAATAACGACATTAAGTGAACGCAGGAGAAAGACTAATATGGTTAATATTTGATTCGACTTTATGACCGTGTAACAGTTGGCACCATCGGTAAACTACTCTTCCAAATAAATATATGTATACCATATAAAAACTCAGATTTGTACTTATGTACATACACATGCTTTCAAGAAAATTTAAAAGAGAAATATCATATTAAAGAGAATTCACACAAAGTGCCTACCTGAACCTGCCTCACGTTAGAGGTACAGTCACCAAAACATCTGCCCAGGCCTGTTTGATGAATGACGACATAATGTGCCGGAAGTGACGTCATACTGACATCCGCTGACTTTGGTGGCCGTGCACCCCATTTACTTCTACTGATTATAGAATCGCATACATCGCCTAAGAAGAAACATTCAGAAGAGAAAATATTGTAATTCTTTTTTATTTTTGTCAACAAACCATCTAATTTATATTTACCATGAGAGTTCTTTAATGTAAGGGTCAAATTCAAAATGTTCACCTGCAAATCTATTTCCTTTCTTTTTTTTAATTAACCCTTCTTGGATAAACCCTTTTCTATAGCTATAACAGTCCAAGTGCCATTTAGGAGATGTCACGTTGATCCATGAAGTGGGATGCAATTTTTTTCTGCATTGCAAGACAAGAATCTTGACATTGATGATCGTCTTTTGTGCGTCTGAATGACTACGATTACACCTGTTTTTTAACCACAATATGTTTTTTTTTCGCTGTGTGTGCCCTATAGACAGCCAGTGACCCCGTTAATTCGCCTCTTTTTACATATTTCTGCATCATTTTGATAATGTTATTTGTGTTTTGGTGCTTTGAAATACATTTTCCATATCTTAATCGGTAAATATGTTATTTTTTAGCTGTTCGGAAAGGACTATGAAGACAAAATCTTCGAATCACGAGAGATTAACGAATAATCATGACACATAAAATGGATGTTTACCTTCAACACGTGTAAGTTTATTTTCTTATATCTTGTTTTTGCTATTTATATTTTATTGCATCAAACAAATATTACTTGACACAATGTGTTTTGTCGTTTGTCTTACAAGAATAGATTCAAACATGTCTCTGATGTTCCCTGCCCTTAAATTATACAATTCTGGCTATACAAAATACAAATGGAATGTTTTACAATTTTCTTTTTCAAAAATAATAAAAAAAGCTACTGGCTCGTGGGGTGAGTGTGGTCTGCACTGTGTTATACTAGTACTAAGATCTTTATTTATACTCTATGTAACTATAAATCTATAATATATCACCCATATTCACATTTCAAACTTATTCAACCCCCTATAAAAACTTTACAACACATAAACGTTTGAGCGTGTAGCTTATTCACACAATTTCTGATGCTATACCATATCCTATCATTACCAGGCCTGACTTTATTCGGAAACATTAGCTTTGTAGATTCCCTTGTATCTTCGACTTACGCTATACACAAACTGTGAAACATGCCCACAGAGACAAAAATGATGTAAAGTTTGTTGAAAAAAAAATGCATAAATATGTGATATTACTACACACCTAACATCAACAACACACATTGCAAAGCCAGGCACATGGTCGTTTTGAAGCGCATTGGTATTTGATTTGTTCAAGCATGGTATATGTACATCGCGGGACATGCATATTGTGTCGACCTCTATTAGCAGAAACAATCATCACCGGTTTTTAATGAAAATTGTTACAATTTCAGTGAAGCCCATGCTATAAATAATATGCAGCATTCCTATGCACAGATATTGTGTGCCGTTTTAATGGTTAATACTACCAAACATCCATTTATATATTTGACATATATTATTTCTCAGCCAAGACAAGCTCCTGCTTCATCTGCGCTAGAGATCACATAAGGCACACCATTGGCTAATGTTTGAACATGTCCTAAATCATGACTAGTATTGGCATGCACTCAGGTCTTTGAAGTAAAATGATAATAATAAAAGCAAATTTATAACATGTGCTCTAAAATTATGTACAGGGTATGGTCCCAGTAACTGGGTATATACTGATAGAAAGTATACTGTTTCTTCGCAGACATTAGCTGATTCCATTGTGCTATGTTAAATGGCACCAATCAGTGACGTGCGTTATACAAAGTCAAGGTGAAGGTCAGCAGCTTCGAGAGTACGAAAATGTTAAACTGAGAAGCAGGACAGACAGGAAGCCACAGAGGATCGGAGAATAGCTGGCACAGTGCGCATGCGTGTTTGCAGAGTTAGAAGGACCCGTACTTGGTTCTGAACAGTTTGCCGGGAATGTGAAGGTACCATTGAATTGGAAAGGTTTCTAAAAAGAGAAAACATATTTATAAAAGTACACGATTTATGTAATTGGTAACTCTTTTGAATTAATTTCTGATAAGCTTCCGAAAAAAACATGTTTTTATTCAAAACTACAATATAAACATTTTGTAAAATTTGCTCGTCAAATTTTTTTGTTTTTATAATAGCTGGTAAGCCGCGCTAAGAGCACTTCAGTTAAACGTTACGTCTAAAATGCCAAGTCAATTTTACTGTCTTTCTCAAACTAGGCCAAGATGCCACATAAATGCACTAAAATTTATCCATGTTTTCTAAGATCAATCTGTGATTGAGCCCTTTTCTGAAATGGTGCCAATGGCCCTCACAAATATCTTATAGGACATCCCATAGGACTGTATAAAGCTCTATAGGATTCTTACAGGACTCTATAAGAATTCTATCGGACGTCCCATCAAGTGTCTAAAAGTAAACAAAGTCAGGTCCGTAGCCGGGTGGGTGGGGGAGAGGGTTCTTTTTGTCAGGAAAAAGTCCATTCTGGTTAAATTTGATCTAGGTACACAGAGGTTTCATTGTAAAAGGTCCACTTTTTCGAAAAAAAAGAACAACCCTTTTGAGATCGATGGCTACGGGCATGTACGTCCTATAGGGCTCTATAGGATTTTGGGCCAATTTCCTACGGGACATCCTATAGGACCCTAGAGTCAATGGCCTGATAGAGAACCTGTTTGACCACTTACCCAGTTGTCCCAGGTGGATATCTCACAGAGCAGTTCTCCCCCCGGGCACTCCGTGTAGGAGGGCGTGGCTGCCTGCATGTGACCGATCACCGTGTAGTTGTCCTGAATAACGCCCCTGTGAAAATAAAAACGAAACAGGATTAGTTGTCAGGTCTGAAGGCATGGAGTGACGTTCAGAGTGGGGGTAGGGGGTTCAAGAAAAGACCCTTTATGTCCGAAAATGGTTGGCTCCGAACAGTAATATCATATCAATTCTATGCTAATGGCGTTCTGCTGATGTTTAAGAACCCCTTATTGATGGCGAAACTTCCGCTTTGAATAAAGTAATTTCAACTCAAGAGGTGAAAAGGTCAATTTTGCTTAAAAAACTTATCGGGATTGCTGATCTGATGGTATTCATAAGTTTCATAAGAAGTTATAACTGATGATATACGTGCGACATGGTACCCAGTACTAGAGACAGAGAGTGAAATTTGATTTTACAACAGTACATAAAATATACAAAAAAACTGAGTTTTTCATCAGAATCCAAATGCACTGTACTAAATGAGATAACTTGTTTTCAAAATCTGTGTTAAAAAATAATTAATTGTTGCATCTGTTGTCGACTTACTGTTCTTTGGCGCAAACGATGAGAGACTTCACCACTTCTAATGCGTTTCTCTTGGGCATGTCCCATCGAAAGTCGCCGAATATCGTGATGCCTAAATGAAGAATTATTACTTTGAATATCAACCCAAATACCTGGCAATTTTATCGAATCTTAATATTGTTATATGATAAAATTGTGTTATGTCTAAAATGTAAAATTCCCTTTTAGATATCAAGTCGTAAGTCACTCTAAACGATTTAACGATCTTACTGTTGATTTCACCAAATATCAGTCATACAACGTGCACTTAAAATAATTGAAATATATTTTATTATCGTAATACCACGAAATATCAAGATACTTTATTTTAAGTAAAACTGTGCATTTTTGAAGTTAATCTTCAACCAATTCCAAAGAACGCGTCGTCAGGCATGCACCATGGGTTTCTCTCTGTAACTTTCATGAATCAACCAGATGATGGTATTTCAGGCCAATTTCGGTTTCGGTTTAAGTCCAAACGCGAATCCACCTGTACTTACCGATAGACTTAGAGTTGAACCCCCTGGCGTGGGCCCCCTGTGACGTCCAGCCCCTGCCCTCGTAGGCACGGCCGTCCTCCCCCACCATGAAGTTGTACCCGAGGTCCCACCATCCCTTGTCTCCCTGGTGGTAGTCCTAGACACAATGGAGACATAATTAGTCTATTTATGATATAAAATTTAAAAATTAAAAAAAAAAAACATTACTTGATCCAGTTTTTCCAGTTGACGACGAAGCATCTTCCTGTGGGAGACCTCAGCCGGTCTATAATTGGTCTTTCAATTTTTTTCTTTTTTTATCTTTCTTTTCTTATACATATGGACCATGCCAATTCCTGGCTTAAAAAATAAAAATTGTGAAGCATGAATTTTAAGGAAAAGTTGTTGCAATTTGTCTGAAAACTCGAACGATCAACCTACTACAAAAATTTTAAGTAAGCATGGATAATTGCGAAACACTTTGAAATAAAATGTTCTGTGGTGCCATAAAGTGGAGATATTAGGGATAATTACTCACATTAGATTTTTCATTCATTTTAGACGAGGAATCAGATAAGAATTGAAATGGTTACTCGGCAAGGGTATCTATCTAAATACCTATCAGGCTGAGCTATATCCTTCCATGAAGAGTATTATTATGGCTGCACACGCTGTCAGAGTTATAAAGGACAGAAGTGCTGTGTGGATATATTTATAAGGAAAAGATTTAGGTCGCTACAGGGTGCAGGGGTGGGTCCCATTTCTAGGGCGGCCTGCTTCCCAAATTAACAATAATTCTTATCAATTATCATAATTCACAATTTTTCCATTTGCACCAAATTTGTGCGGAGTATCTACTCCCGGTCACAGTTTTAAACAATATAATGCATGCAAACCAAATCTTAGTCACGTATGTATGAATTCCTTATCACTTTAAATCTGAAGGGGAGGAATTAAAAGACACCAATCTTGCCATTCACTCATTAAATCCACATTATATTCATATTAACGTGAGCTTACAGTGCCAAGAAATCTGCTCACAGCGACTAGTTGTCCCACCATTGACAAATGTCTATATTCTGTTACAGGTATAATTGGGGTACAGCATATCTGTGAGGCAAATGGCCGTTATTAAGCGAAGATTGTTATTAGACGGTTTCTTTCACTCTTTATCAATATAATTGCTGTGCTTCTGATTCATTTGCTTACTACTTTTGATGTAAAAAAATATAATTATCGTTTTTGGAACACCTATGTTTATGGCCTGTGGTTTTATATATTCATCTTAAATGCGGTATAGTCATAAACAGGAGGGTGTGATTATGTGTAGATCTGATTTGATATATAATTCATGCCACAAATCGGTGTGGGAGTAACGTCACACTTTCATACACACGATCAAAAATTTAAAGACAAGCAATTTCTTCTCATTCATGATTTCATGACAAACAAGATGTTATTGCAATTCTTCTCCGGTTTAGTAAGACGATGTGCAGTGTGCACACTTGTGTGTAAATGATTTAGTCGTCTTGACGTCCACGTGGTCATTAGATGCATCTGTATAGCGTGTCCTCTCTCATTGCCCGCGACTTGGTTAGTAAGGGGAGTAGACTTCCGCGTTTTTGGAATCGTTTTCACACCTAAGAGATTGCAAGATGGCCGTTTTATATTGTGGTTACAATAATCTCGGAGGGAGGGGATTCGGGTTAGGTAGGACAAACTTTGTACAGTATCAGAAACACTGCACTAGAGGTTTTCACAATGTGACAGTCAGAAATTGTGTAGATTAAATCTAGGAGTTATAACTCTTTGATTATATGGAGGAGGCGCTATATAAAGGCATAAAACTATGAGTATATATGTGTGTTTTTGCGTGTGTGCGTGCATGCGTGTGTGTTTTTCCAATATTCTGTAAACCTGACATAAAAGAATGTGTATGTGCGTGCCTGCGTGTGTGCATGTGTGAGTGCATGTGTGAGTGCGTGCGCGCGTGCGCCAGTACATGCATGCGAATGTGTATTCCTATATTCGGTAATAATAGTATGTGTATATCTGTGTTCGTGCGTTCGTGTGTGTGTTTGTGTCTACCTGTACTCTCTTGGCCTGTTTCACACAGTCCTCCTCTGTAAAGCACCTGTCCCAGGCAGTGTGGTGAACCACGATGTACTCCACGGGCAGGGTGAGGTTGGTGGTCTGGACCGGGGGATTGGCTCCCCACTCCGCTCTACTCACTATAGGGGGACAGCTTGACCAAACTAGGGAATAAATCAGAAAACTACATGAAAAAAAATTTGATAGGAACATTGAAGTGATTAGCAAAGAAAATATGTAGGAACTTAGGAAAATGTACCCAGCTGCCCATTAAACATCTATGTGGGTGTTAGTTTCAAACGATGAAGATATGATATTGATTAATATGCTGATTGCTACGTTTTTGTTTTGCTCTCTCTCTGGTCTTTTTTATATATATATAGATGTCATTTTTTGTTGATTAATACGAAAAAACTACACTATCATCTGTATTTTCAAAGCACCTGAAATGATTTGTTCAAAAAACTGCTTTATCCATTCACTGTTTGCCAGTGCCTTCCGTTTCGGACTGATTCTGATATACTGTTTGTATTAAACAGATAAAGATTCAATGGTTCCTGAATGGTTTTGAGGAAGTTAAATGTTACCCCTGTCAGTCTTTCAGGGTGCAACTGATAAACAGAGCCCACTGACAAGACACCCACGGGCAGTTTTCTAAGGGTTGACAACTGACATCCATAAGGTGAAGATGGTCTGATAACAAATAAGGAAGAGGAAAACACGAAGTGAAAACGCTCGTGCTCGCTGACAAAGAACACAATTGTAGTAGTGTCTATCATTCAGACATTCTTAAGGATTGACCGACAGACAGAAGGACAGTTGTCATTATTTTATTTTAATAAAGCAGAATGCAAAACAATAATTTTAATTAAAAAAATAACTAATGAACCAAGTACAAAACGAAACAGTATTCATTACATTTTAAATCGTACAAATGGAATCATGTATAGGAGAATAGCCGGTTACTTTACCATAATTATATGCAAAAATGTAAAGCCTAATGTCTGATGACTAGTAGTGGTGAGAGTATAAGCAAGCATGCGGTAATTTCTGACACGTTACGCCTTTGATTTCTCTCTACGGGAACACTGACACACAATGTTAATAGAGTCACCTTTGACAGGGTTGACACAATAAAGCTTTAATTACCTCAATCTTGGAACACCTTTAACTTATTCACAGGTTTAAAATGCTATTTATTCTAAATTCTGATACCTTGCCTTCGGGGATAATGGTTAATTGGCATTCTTTCTTCATTACAAGTTTTACTGAATATTGCATGAACTCGCATATCCTGCTAGTACCGTCTGATAAGTTGCCCTGGGTCAGTAAATCAAAAACAGAAGCTTAATTAACACAGCGTCGCCATATTGATGACTAATACCTACATGTTAATAATAAAGAGCTTTTCAGTTGTATTTTTGGTGTGTATCACCTTGATAAGAGAGACTAATCCTAGTACAGAGCGATTGCACAGTTGTGTTTGCAGACCAAAAACACCGTATTTTAAATCAGAAATTTGCTGAATAAGGTTCGTTCCAATTCTTCCCTTTGTTTAGCTCGATCAACAGAGATAATATTTTAGTGTGACGAAGCGTAAACTATTATTCCTATTGCCACCTCAAATATTTCGGGTCAGAAATTATGCGTGCCACTTGCTAATCAAAACACTCTATATCCTCAACCGTATCGAACAACGCAAGGAAACAAACAGGCCAATCAGATGTGTTCGGAAGCGAAACATCGGCTGTTTCCGGACTTTTACGTAAACTGACTTCGCGGAAGCTCAGCGCGGAAGATCGTGCTGGGCACGCGGGGTTTAAAACGTGCCCAGGTCATTTCTTCCTGTTTTGGAGCTGGTTCGAATGGTCTTTTTCGAGGTCATAATAAAGTGCGGTTAACTTTGAGGTTATATATGTTTTCACTTGGTATTCAACCACAACCAATATGAAATACAAGAACGTAAATCAACAATAAAGTTTCCCGCAATGTCAATGTTATAAGTGTGTTTACAAAATGCCAAATATGATATAAAAGGAAATAAAACAATATTGATTCGATTTGAAATGTTTGTTATTGAAATAAGACTTTGTTTTAAAGGTCGATCTGTCCGAAAAGTTTGACAAAACACACATTCACCCAAACAGTGGAGCACTTAATTCATTATTAATTTTTTTCTAATTTTAAAAAATAATTAATTTGCTTTCTGCATTAATGTAACAAAATAAAGACAACCGTCTGTCTGTGCTAAAAGTTGGACAAAACACACATTCGCCCAAACAGAGGAGCACGCGCTGCTAGGATTAACATGTTATCAGAGTGAAGTGTCAACATGGGGGGGTCACTGTGTGAGTAATTGTGGTCTGGTGACAGACGCTGGTGACGGGCCATTGGTGACAGGCCTTCACGACAATGCGGAAGATGACACAGCGGTTGTCCACTGTAATGTTAATAACCTTTCTAATTCTTAGAACCAGTGTTTTCACTTTTTGGGTAAATAAAGATTATTAATTGTTTTGAACGACCTGTTGACGACCGGTGTCAACCGTTGTTTAACCGTTCTTTGTTTACATCATGGGTCTCTTTATAAAGTAAATAGTCCAAAGATTACCTCAACAGTATGTATGCATAATAAACAATTTGACTCGAAAATAAAAGAACTTCCACGTGCGTCAGTGTTCCCGTAGAGTGAAATCAAAGGGGTAACATGTCAGAAATACTAATCTTATAATACTTATAAACTCAAAAATACCCAATTTTAAGAACGCTCTTTCTTTCGCTTGGTGTCAGTTAGCAGCACGTGATTAGAGAGAGGTGCGGGTAATGCTTTTGTCAACACTTTTGTATCGTTATCGCACGACGTCGTGATAATTTAAAATTATTTGGAATCTTATACTGTAAGAACAGACTTTACTTAGAAATGAACTTTTCCTAAACGCCATATCCTTGTCTCGGTCGTCCTAGCCTTTCTTTAACAACTTCTTCAACATTTTGTGTCTCAAGTATTTTTGAATCGTGATAAAAAAAGGGCGACATGTTAAAGGTTCTATTTTGATAATACTTCTCCTGTACAAGCAATGTTCATCAATAAACTAGAATGCAATCCGAGGTGAAAACATGTATTTTTATTTTGCCATGGTTTTAGAGCGGGGAAGAGGTGGAAGGGGGGGAGGCATTTCCATTACTTTAAAAGGATACCATGTGCCAAATATTCAAGAAGGACATAGGGACAAAATGGGGGGGGGGGAAGGGGGGGGGG